TTTAAGTAAAGTGTTACCAACAAAAAACGATTTGACACTGAGCAATTGCATGAAACTTAAAAAAATTATATTAATAAACAGGGTTAAAAACACGATTCCTGAATATATTTTGAGCGGATATATTTGATAAATATTGAGCAGATGGGAAAATGTCCACAAACAGAGACAATAATGTTTGGCGACAATGGGACACAAAACAAAAAAAATGCAGATTGTTCATTACATTTTTTATTTTAAAACTTTGTCATTGTCCAACAGGGGAGGAAAAAAAAAGGTCTGTCAAATCAATAAACGTACAATTAATTTAATCATCGCATTGAAGTCTAAAGAAAGTATCTCCACAAAGGAGGATTCTTTCCGACCACAATTTGAACGCCAATACAAATAAAAGAACTAAAACCTTTTATCCATCATGTACCTTCACTCTTAAAAATAAAGGTGCTTCACAATGCCATAGAAGACACATCTGAAGAACCTTTCTGTTTCACGAAAGGTTCTTTGTGGTGAAAGAAGGTTCTTCAGATTATAAAAAGGTAAGTAAGAGATAATTGTGGAACCAAAAATGGTTCATCTATGGCATCGCTGTGAAGAATCTTTTAAGCACCTTTATTTTTACGAGTGTTCTCTTCTAGTTTGCCTTCATTTTTCAAGACTTAAAAAATCCAAACAAAGCATATGAAAAACCTAGAAAAACCAAGAAGATGGTGCGGAACAACAAAAAGAACGAGCTTGTGGCACAAAACACGCACATGACAGGAAATGATGACAGGACGCCGTATCAAACATGATTAAGGAAACGAGGCACAAAATTCATATAAGAGTTGAACTCTCAGTTGGTTTTGGCAGCTGTGTTCGAGGAGAAGTAGATCCTCAGACCAAAGGAAACATGTTCACACATCCAAAATACACTTAAAAAGAGACAAAAACCCAACTAGACTAAAGGATAATTCACTTTAGGGTTGAAAACACAAACCCTGTTCCCAAAGATGAGCGCTGGGATGTTCATGCCCAGGATAACACAGTCACCCGTGGTGCTGGAGTGTTAGTGTTCACTAAATGTGCGTGACTGTAAGTGTGCTTGAATAGTAGCTCACACAAGAATTCAAAATCTGCCATCATTCAACCTTTCTGAGATATTTGAAAGAAACTCAAGCTGCTCTTTTACAGTTGATCTCTATTATGGAAAAGAGCAGCACAGAAATTGTCCAAAGTTTCGTCTTTTGTGTTCTACAGATAAAATAAAAACATACAAATAATGACAGAATGTCCTTTTTTTCAATGAGCTATTCCTGTAAATTGAAGAAAGGTTTCTCTTGTACTGTTGTCCTCAAGCTAACAGCATGGAGATGCTATAAATAAATACGAGACTGAGAAGTATGAGATTGTACTACAACATTTCCAGAAAGTCTGACACAGATAGTATGGCAAAACACTGAAGCCGCTGTCCTTGTTAGCAAGATCCTCTCAGCTCTGAATGCTAATGGTAAATTGTGCAGTATTGCAAAGTAGGTTATGTTGTAGACGCCTAGTAAGAAATCACTAGGTCCTGATATGTATGTGAAGGGAACTAACAAAACAACACAACAAATCTTTTTTTCATATTGGGATCCGTCAGCCCCATCAGACTGGTTTTTAATCTATGTTCATGAGATGAAATATTTTCCATCCTCAACAGATGAGTTTGGGGTCTACGGAGAGCCCTATCCTTCCCAAGTCCATCATCCTGGCGTTCCGCCCTTGAAGTCAATAAAAGAACTAAATTGGTAGCATTTGTAGAAATAAATAAAATCTTAGCTAGCGCTCAGGCATGCTCGTATAACTTCAATAAGTCTTATATTTTGGTTGATTCCATTTTGAGGGTGAAAACTAGGGGGATTCTTTATCACCTTTTGGGTCATGTGATTGGACCAAAATGGGATGTTTTTTGCCTCCTAGCTGAATCGAGCTAGTGTGGAGCTAGCATGTGTGCAATTTGGTTTCATGCAATGCTCCAAATACTTCCAAAATAAAATAGTACTACAAAGGGGGTGTTAGAACATTCACAACTGGAAAAAGAAAAGGGCCTGAAATGAGGAGAAGTTTATCACTTATGCTTCTCAACATGGAAAGGCTAATTAAAGGAATTACTAAAAAAGGGAGAAATGTTGCTGACAGGACTTAAAGGAGCAGAAGGGGGCAGCGGGGGGCTTCTTCGTACAAACTGCAACCTTCTCCCTAATCCACCTGGGCCATGCCTGAGGCACTTGATCAGATCGGTGTTCAAATGGAGCTTGCAGGTGAAGGTGTCAGTCTTTTCCCGATATAGACCCTGTTTTAGAGACACAGGACAAAAGAAAAAGAAATGAAAATGTCGTTAAAGGAATAGTCCAAAAAAAAAAAAAGGTCATCATTTACTCACCCTCATGTCGTTTTAAACCTGTATATGTTACTTTCTTATTTTGAACACCAAAAGAAGATATTCTTTTGATAGACTTTTGAAGAAAAAACCCCCCAAAATCGGCGCATTAAACCAACAAAAAGATGCAGGTTTAAAAGTGATTTCTGTGTGAGCAGTGCTTCATAATATATAAATAATAGACCCATTTCACCCGCAAAATTACGAAAATGTGACCACATGCTTATCCCGCACAAAAAATGTAAAATCTATCCATAATCTGAAATCTTCAAGTCTAGTTTTGTGCAACTTCCAGAAGTCAGGGTGCTTAGGTTATTTATTGTTTCACTGGGAAAGAGAGTTGTGTTTTCAAAGCTATTCGGAGAAAACTAGTTGAGAGATTTGACTAAATTGCATGGTATGCTGTCTATATCCACCTTTTTCATGAACGCAGAAGTCTTGTCTGCCTCGTAGCGGAAAGATGCTTAACTCTGTGCACATTTTTATATTTAGTTATATTTTGAAAGTTTCAGTTTAATTAATTCAGTCAATCATTTTAACATGGAATTAACATGGAGAGCATCCAAACAGAAGTTAGAATCCATCATGTCGGAGCTCATCAGTCACTCAGGAAAAAGGTGGATATTGTGCGTTTTTGAGGCTGTTTGTATTAAGTAATGTGCCCTTCAAGTGGAGTCGGAAATACTGTATTTACGAGTTTTGAGCACATAAATGACCAAGCTAATTTGTATGTACGAATGGGAAATTCTGAATTCTAAATACATGAATTGTCTAGTTGTTGATTTAAACCATTGTGGAAACACAGATCTATGATAAATAACAAAAAAAATCTATAATATTTATGAAAAGATCAGTGAGCAGAAATCAAGTCTATAATGAATTATAGTTAATAATTTTTCAACTTATTTTCATTTTACATGCTATTATTTGCTTATTGCTTAACTCTCACAGTTTGCTTTATGTACTCCCAAAATTTGTTTCGATAAGATGCATAAATGACAAAAGTAAAAAAAAGAAAAGAATGATAGATAGATGTAGTTATTTCACAATTATATCACAATATTATACTTTTGTTTTTCGCATTCATGTAACGATTCTGTTTTGAATGTGTAACTTCTTATAATAACGAATGCACTAGAAGGCAGCCTAAACTACATATGTGTGAAGTGTGATTGTGTTTTAAGGTGTATCTACCCGAGACCCAGGACCAGGATGTGGGACAGAAGCAGTGAGGGGATAAACACTTTGAGGAACTCAGAAGAGAAGATCCCTCCTTTCTTCATGGCTCCTGTCTTCCTCATGCTGAGAGTCACTGAACGCCGCGGGTGCCGGAAATGAAACTCCCTGTCAGAAAGATCAATCTACCAGTCATTACAACAGCATCCCACCTGGCCTGAACAAAAAAAAAAAAACTCAAAACACTATATGTGTCACAAAACCTAGTGAGCTCCCTATCCAGATCACTTGTTAAGGGATCATATGCATAATTCTGGCATGGGTACAGTTTTAAATTCTAAAATGCCTCATTCTGACCTAAATTTGGCAACATCGCAGAATTATGTCGGAGCTGATAGCCTTGTGGGCAGTGCAGGGTTATTATAGTTAACTACAACTAAAACCCAAAAAAAAAAAAAAAAAACCTGTTCGAACTAAATAAATATTAACTGAAAAAAAAAAATTGCCAAGACAACATTTCTCATTTTCATTCATTTAATTGGATGTACTAAATCTTAAACTAAAATAATAATTGATAAAAACTATATACTTAAAAAAGACAAAGACGTTAAAATGAAAATGGACATCAAAAATTAAATATTAATACAAACTATAATAGTATCTGAAAGACACTAAATAGCACTGCATTTGAGTCCTCGCTAGTGCTTACTTAGGTGGAATATTCTCAGGTCTACTTGACCAGTCTGCGACCCGGTCTGAATCCTTCATTAATATGTCATCATCTCTGATCTTCTCCATGACTTCCTCCTGAGTGGACACAGACACACCCAAACACAAGCACAGACAGATAATGAAGATAAGCCAGAGTACGTTCCATAAATTAGATGATCCACAATGTTCTCAAGAGGAAGTACCTGGCTGTCCCTCCTCATGTCCACGTCAAAAATGATCTGGCCTTCATCCTGAGGACTGTGAGGTCGAGGAGGGCTGTGGGACACAGCAGTTTAAAGTAAGCTAAGAATTGTCATTAAAATAACTTTTGTATGACTTCAGAAGATAATTTTATGATCATTTGTTGCCATTTTTGTCCCAACAGCTTTCATTGTATGGAAAAGAGCAGCTGGGACATTCTGCTAAATATCTCCTTTTGTGTTTCCCAGCACAAAGACATTCATACAGGTTTAGAACGGCAGTTTTCATTTCTGTGTGAACAGTGCTTGAGAGAACATTAGTCTGTGTACATATGAGAGAGGAACACTGTATTCCTACAGTAAAGATCCAGAATCATATGACTCACTGAGTTTGAGTCAGATAAGGGTTATTATGGCCGTATCCTATCAGCATGAGGTCAGTGTGACCACGTGCAATTTGGTATGGATGTTCACAGCACTGCTCTCTATCTATGAGGTCATTAAACTCAAGCTGTGAACTCAGGTGACATTTGCATATTATATTATATTATATATATATATATATATATATATATATATATATATATATATATATAAAGTGG